CGACCAACTGCTACATGACGTTGCGAGATCCAATTGAAAATTTGAACTGGTTTAATTTGTGTCTGAAAAATACATTTCTCGTGATTAAACAATGATTATTATATCAGTATACCCCTAAGCCTCTTACCTAGAATAGCCTGCAGCTGTAATTGTAATGTAATAACCCTGACGGACGGGTTATTACATTACATTACCCTGACGGACGGGTTATTTAAACATCGCAGCGAAGTTCAGTAATTGTTGATATTTATTAAAAGTCAAATTTTAAGCATTTACATTATTCTGATGAAGTGGAGATCGGTTAAATTGTTTGCGTCTATTGAATCGAGTAAAAAATGAGACTATTCGAATTAGGAGCATTTAATAGACAGAATTCAAAAGGCTTCAAAATATACAAAATTTTATGTTAGCGTAATTTAAATTGTAAATGTTTTCTTGTCTTCACACTTTTCACTGGCCATTTAATTGGTTTACCTTCAAAATTATTACAGTTTATTTGCACTACTCCTTATTTTGTTCGATTGGTTCACATTAATATGCGATTTATTTCAATTAACTCGAATAATACTCCTCCTGATCATTTTATTTCTACCAATAGGCGCTTGTCATCAGACTCTTTCTGCCTTCCTACCTACCCAAGGTACAGCTGGAGACAAGCAGCGAAGGCACATACTTGGTTTTATCCATTTGCTCCAGCACTCATCTTGGGTTTTTATTATTTTTATTTTTACACTATCTTTATTAGGTTAGGTGAACTGCCGGTGACGGTTAGGCTAGGTTAGGTTAGGTGAACAGCCGGTGACAGTTAGGCTAGGTTAGGTTAGGTGAACTGCCAGTGACGGTTAGGCTAGTTTAGGTTAGGTGAACTGCCTGTGACGGTTAGACTAGGTTGTTAGGTGAACTGCCGATGACGGTTAGGCTAGGTTAGGTTAGGTGAACTGCCGGTGACGGTTAGGCTAGGTTAAGTTAGGTGAACTGCTGGTGACGGCTAGGCTGGGTTAGGTTAGGTTAGGTGAACTGCCAGTGACTGTTCTCTGGCACCTCATCAGAGAGGATGTTTCATCATTGACACATTTCATTATTATGATATTTCATCATCTCATCTTGTACCAATATAACCTATCATCACGTAACCTTAGCTACATGTACTTATATTTGTAAAATGCACTATATACTATACAATAATGAAATTTTATATTGAATTGATATAATGATGAATTGTTATAGTGATGAGATGTCCCGTATGATAACGTGTCTGGACACTGCAGTGACAAAGTCTCGCGTTTTCTGACGAGATTCGTGCATTTGGAGGCCTATGATTTTCGACTTTTATTAGGCGTTTTTCGAGGAATATTTTCGACTTTGAAAAATAATTAAATTATCAAAACTAAATTTAAGTGAAGTGCCTGGGATTTGTAAATGACTGAAATCATTTGATATTGCTTATCTTCGTAAATATTAATTTGTAATCAATTTACATGTGTTGTGCAAATTCGCATGATTATGTACATTGTTTCAAAATTTTATTTTATGTATCAATGACGTATTCAATTAAAGTGCCTAATAATTATCATAAGTACTGAGTTGAATTAATATAACGAAATTAGGGACTGAAGTGAGTAATTGTATCGGTAGACGAAGTTATAGCAGTTGAAGTTGGAGCAATAGCAACTTCATGGCGATGCCGTGGCTCAGAATACGAACACCACAGGAGGCTGGTGCAGCTAAAAATGAAAGGTTTCTTCTACATTAATTTTCCGTTTGCATCACGACAGGAACGAACTGGCTCCTCAGGCCAAACTAAATTTCAAATGGGAGCTGAAAAAATAATGAATGTTTTGGAATTTAGAATTAGCCGGTGCAATTAGTGTTCTATGCGAGTGACTGAATTGGGAATCTGAATGTTCTGCATTCTCAGCGCAAGTTCAAGGTGGACCATACTTTTAAATAATATGAAAATGAAGGTAGACATATTACCTAAATATTCACAATTAATGATTGAAAGCAAATTATCCCAAAAAGTTTTATATTTGGGAATTTAGAATAAATAAAACGCGAAGACTAAAATCCTGAGACATTCGACAAATGTTCGACGCCTGAGCTGCTGCTGATGCAAGGTCAGTATGCTGCGAGTGAAGCGGTGGAGTGAAACTTGCTCACAACAGCCACCAGAGTTTGTCAAACTCGACAAAACAACGGCTTAACATTAACGAGAGAATAGATTCCAATATCTCATTAAGCTTCCATTAGTAACAGTGATCCCCTAATCGTAGATGCAGAAGTACAAATTGCCAGTTTGAAATATAACTTGATAAAATAGATTTGTGATATATATAACGTAAAAATCAGCCAATAATATCTGCCATGAGTATTAATGTCACTAGATTGCTTGAATCGCAGGTTCACTAGAAATTCATAAGCGAATAAAACTCCACAAAAATTCTACATAGCTCTATTGAAAATGTTTCTGAGATCAGCTCCATCATCAGTTTGATAAATCTAGAACACCTATTCAACTTCTGATTGTATGTGTGTTCTAGATTTATCGATCTGACGATGGGCCTTCCATGAATTTTAGGCAAAACGTCGTACGCAAACTGTATAATATAATACTTGATATTCCGTCACAAATACTCGCTCCGGTAAACTTTTGTGCGCGCCGGATAAATTATAAATTTATCCTTAAAATTATATGTATATCCGAAATCTCTAGAACTTAGAAATGGGTGATTGATTAGAAAATTAAAGGTTATATAGTTTAGGATACTATCATTACTTCATGAGTGAAACACTGATGTTCTCATTCACTAATTGATTTATTTTTATTATTTTAGTGCGCTGGGTCACGATCTGAAAGCGCGTACGCATTTCAATTGAATTGAAATTGAATAAAATTATAACTTGGCAAAATTACAAAAATCATGAAACGATGTCTAAGCATTTAATTAAAATTAATTAATTATCAATGACAGATCAGAAAGTGCTAATAGAAGGTTACATTAATAAATTCAGCGCCCTCTAGCTGGCATTGAAAAACTTTCTGGGATTTCACTTTATTTATTTCGAATTCAATAATGTGCACAATACCATGGCCACAATACTGGCAAGTGATCCATTATCCAATTTAATATACGTCAATTTTTTATAAAATAAATGAGGTAGCGCTATAACATAATTACATTGTTCAGCATTGGAAAAATTATCAGCTTGATTGAAAAAAAAAGCCTATGAAAGAACGATATCAGATTCCAAGCAATCACGCTCACAGGTAAATATCAGTTTACTTTAAAGCTCAAAGGAAAATAATTAATGATCATCTAATTGGATTTCACTGCAAAAACGCGTTTCATCAGGATCAGTCGAGGGCATACGAAGCAAAAATTCCAGATGATTTTACAATTGCTTGAATTTTGTGTAATATATTTTCAGTTTTGCGTTGTTGATTACCAACTATTTATACAGTTCTTATTGTTTCAGTTTGATCATCCCAAAAGTTCATGCAGTTCAGTGATTAGCTTTAGTAATCTTTAAAACTGAGTGCAATGATAACTACACGATGATTAATATAATTACTATTATATTTATTAACTAGCGGATATCTCTACTATGTCCTAAATGACAATAGTCACTACCCAGCTATAGGAATATTGCGATTATAACTAAACAATGTCAATGAATACTCTATATATATAACCGGCACATCATAATGCAATAGTCACTACTCCAGAACGATTTTTCTATTTTTCGTTGACTATTACTAGTTTAAAATTTATTTAAAATATCGTAAATTCTACGAATTCAAATCTACAATTATCATTTGCCCCGTAAAGAGCCTTAATTGTTGCAGCTAAAATGCATTATTTCATCCTTAAATTTTACCAGACTTTATTTCATAGATGGTATTCCATGACAGCAATCACGACTGCCTAAATTTGATCTTCACCTCTCTGCCTCCCCCTGCTCTGGTATAATTCATTTTGGTCTCGCTAGACATGCAGTGCGTGTGTTAATTGCTTTGCCAATAGCCTTGGTATATAAGATGCAAGATGTAATGACTAGATAGTGCAGTCTTAGAGCATCAACTTCTAGGTTTAATATAAATAGGTCATTTATTTCGCTGATCTTTGTGAAGGATCGATCTACACTAACTTCCAAGAGTAATAGAGAGACAAGAAACATTGTATCGTCAATAGCAATAGAGCGAATAATACGGTTTCATCACGAACAAAAAGAAAACGACGCTAGCGGTGCCACATCACTGTTGTTCTCAGATGTTTGCAGTTTCAATCTATTCTATCCTTGTCGTGCTTGTCTGAGTTTACATTTAATCTACAGGATGCGTCTCGGAATTAACGGAATATATCATAATACAGAATCGCTGGAATACTGATGTTCAAATTATCAACCTAATCCAATACCATTACAATGTTGCAATATTTACTTTGCACATGAAGATCTTGATTTTAATAATCTTTTACTGGGTAAACCCAGTGCAGAAATAAGTTTTTTACCGATAATTGTTAGTTATCAACTCTTCAATAATTTGCGTTACAAAATACATAAGGATGTATACGAATATATTTGAGTTTTAAGGGCGACAAAACCGGATTGCAAATAATCCAATCATGGATCATTTGTAAGCCGTATATTTCATAATTTCGACTTCAACACATCTGAAGTGTAAACCTAGGGGAACCTATTTTATTGACTTGTAACTCGATAATCAGCCAACATTTAATAATCAAATGTAAATTACATTATTACAGCTCCAAAATGTAATACATTATTAAATGTAATAATTATTGTAATAAATTAAAATACAATTAAAATACAATAAAAATGTAATACGTTATTACAGCTCCACGCGCGCGCATCGTGGATGAGAGAGGCGCGGATGTGTCGGATTAAACCTAGGGGACTTTATTGTATTGTTTTGTAACTCGATAATCAGCCGACGTTTAATAATCAAATGACGTTTAATAATCAAATGAATGAACATTATTACAGCTCCCCGCGCGCGCATCGTGGATGAGAGAGGTGCGGATGTGTCGGAGAAACATTACAACAGCGGCAGCCTCATCCAGCTCAAGTGCCACGTGGACCGTGTGCCTTTTCCGTCCGGCAGAGTCACGTGGAGGAAAGCGGACACCGTGCTTACCTTCAACACGTCCATTGGCGGCATAAGGTACTTTATAAGATAGGGTACTTTATAAAATAAGGTACTTTATAAAATGAGGTACTTTATAAAATAAGGTACTTAATAAAATAAGGTACTTTGTAAAATATGGTACTTTATAAAATAAGGTACTTTATAAGATAATGTACTTTATAAAATAAGGTACTTAATAAAATAAGGTACTTAGTAAAATAAGGTACTTTATAAAATGAGGTACTTAATAAAATAAGGTACTTAATAAAATAAGATACTTTATGAAATAAGGTACTTAATAAAATAATGTACTTAATAAGATAGGGTACTTAATAAAATGAGGTACTTAATAAAATAAGGTACTTTATAAAATAAAGTACTTAATAAAATAAGGTACTTTATAAAATTAGATACTTTATGAAATAAGATACTTAATAAAATAAGGTACTTTATAAAATTAGATTCTTTATGAAATAAGGTACTTAATAAAATAAGGTACTTTATAAAATTAGATACTTTATGAAATAAGGTACTTAATAAAATAAGGTACTTAATAAGATAGGGTACTTAATAAAATGAGGTACGACTTAATAAAATAAGGTACTTAATAAAAGAAGGTACTTAATAAAATAAGATACTTTATAAATAAAGTACTTGATAAAATAAGGTACTTTATAAAATAAGGTACTTAATAAAATAATGTACTCAATAAAATAATGTATTTTTATGTTACGTCGATTCAACGAAACAATGTTTAATCTAACGTTGATTCGACGTTAGTTATCTGGTTGGAATTGTTGTTAGTGAACTAAGTTCTGGTGGACGACAGACACGGTGTTACTTTCAACACGTCCATTAGTGGCATCAGGTATACTCGCCTGACATTCTAAAACAATAACATAATAACTAACCATATGAACATAGTTCGCATGATGGTATCTATTTATTGGTTATTTTTCCATCTATATGGATGATTAGTAGTGGAATCATTGTAATGAGTTTATCAACGAACATATGTCGCGCTCTTAACTCATGTTTTAGTTAACTATATTAAAATCAATTGCATGATGGTTTCTATTTATTGATTATTTCTCCATCTATATGGATGATTAGTACTGGACTCATTGTCATGAGTTTATCAACGAACGTGTCACGCTCTTAACTCACATTCACCGCATGCGTGACACTGCTGCGTGCAGCGTGAAGGGCGAGCCTGCCACGGGCCTGGTGACGAGTCGTCTGTACGTCGCTAATGCGTCGCCCCGAGACTCGGGGACCTACAGCTGCTGGTACGAGGACTACGCGCACGACAACGTCACCGTGCACGTCATTGCTGGTACGTCACCGTGCACGTCATTGCTGGTACGTCACCGTGCACGTCATTGCTGGTACGTCACCGTGCATTTGTGCGTGCGTATTGCGATTCTTTGTACTTCACGTTAATTGACAGGGGCACCGTTTTTAGACGTTATTTTACTTCCCGCTGGTTCACTTCTGCTAAGAAAATGAACACTTATTATACTAAATACTAAATTCAGTATTTATTTATTTAATTTATACTAAAATTTATTTTAAATACAGTTTGAATAATGTCCAATAATATTCAATAATAATGAATAATAATAATGGATAATATAATGTCCAATGTTTGAATAATGTCCATTTCTTTTAATGTCCAATTTGAATATATTTTTTTTTATTTTTGGTGCAGGAGAATATCCTGCAGCGATGCAGGATGACTCACTCACCGACAGCGGTGCAGCGAACAGCAACGACAACAGCAGCAGCAGCAGCAGCGCTGCAGCGCAGCACTTTGCTCCTGTTTGCTGCACGCTCCTGTTGCTGACGCTGCCGCAGCTGCAGAGCAACAACAGACGTCACTGCCGTGCAGAGTTTTTTGTACGTTTGTCCTTGATGGCGTGGGCAGTGCTCATGTTATCGTACGTTTATAAAGGAAGATGATTGCCCTCTGAAGAGCTGTTTACACGGTCTTGTTTTTATCACAGAGTTTGTTTAGAATTGTTCGTGGAGGCATTGAAGGACATGCGGATATTTAATTAGCATTTAAGTAATTTTGAAACGTTATGTGTTATAAATATCTATGTGTGATTGACGCAGTTAACTACTGAGCGGTAAATTTTATGGAAACTATATTCTTATAGAAGACACAAATAATTTTTATTCAAGGCATTCATTCCAATTTTTTTTTGTTGACTTGTCCCGACCAAGTTTTGTCAATGCCATAATTGTTGTAGTAATCCCTCTGAATAAAAGTAATAATAATAATATTATTATTCTATGGCAGAAATTCGAATACTTTTATAATATGTGACCCATGGTTAAGTAAAGCTACAACAGAGAAGCATTCATTGTAATATTACTCGCTATGCGAAATTTTGGTATCTGCGTTAACATTCTTAAGAATATTATTCTCTTCCATAAATTTCTGGTTAATGAATAGAGCTTGCTATGGAATTTATTTTTTATTCGATGAAACAACTATGTGACATATGAACAAAAAGTGCTTGTACATACTAAAATTATGTACTGATTTATGAACGTAATCCTATACCAAATAAAGAATGAACCTTTTTATGGTCTGATAATTTTCCGTTAATCTACAACGCGTTTCTTCAGTGAATTTAATTTTCATACAACAACCTCTCCCTGCTAGACGTGCAAGCGTAGGTTGTCGATAAACACAATACGTGAATAATCTGAAATATCTTCAAAATAAACTCGAGTAGGTATATTATTTACAGGTTATTATATGGGCACATGAATATCCCATCTCATGCGGATAATCGCTAGCATAGATTCTGTTTCACACACATCATTACTCATGTATTGGGTCTCTAATAAATCATAACTTTCACTAATTCACAAATAAATGCGGCCTGAATCTTTCGTGTTCATGTAGGAAACCTGAGCAACATTAATTGCTATTTCGGTCTCACCCGATACCTGTTAAAACACATCCGTAACCAACGACCACATGAGTCATATGCCCTTCTCATTTATGTTTACCAAAAGATTCCAAGTATTTTAGAAATTTGTAGAACGTGCAAATGATATTATTATTAAAGTTGGATACAAATAAATAACGCCTGAATTCAGCTTTGATTGGCGAAATTTGTGGTTTGATATTCACCATTGGAAGTTAATAAGTTGAAATCTTTATTATATCATGAAATGCAGTTGCTAAAACAAAGTTATCTATAAATCACGTAAACTACTGATTAAACGTTCAAAATTCTACATATTATTTCATTCATTCCATCAATATTTAAAGATTGCTAATAATGAATAAACAAATCAAAGCACCTTCAGCCACAGAGGTCATTTCATTATATATGAATGAAGCTCACAATAAGACGAAGCCCATTCATCGAACTTGAATAAACGAAGTGCATTACAAGGCAAGGTCCATTCATCGAACTTGAATGAATGTAGCTCACTACAAGGCAAGGTCCATTCATCGAACTTGAATGAATGTAGCTCACATGTCAATTTCGGTGCGCGGCGAAAGTAAACAAAGCATTATATAGCATTCGAAATACTGAAAGCTAATACGCCATGAACTTGTGTGCCTTGGATATGAATACACAGCCTTTTATTTTCTCTACAACCTGAGAAGATTAAATCCAGTTCCGGAATGCCGGTTTTTAGGAAAATATTTGTAGGAGAAAAATGCATCGCATTGCTGGATTTCATTTTAATGAATAAAATGTAATTAAAATTGAAAAACAAAAACATCAAAGAAAACTATACGGATGTAAAATAATAACAGCTATACATCTCTATAACCACCAATATACACCATTAAGTACAGAAAGGTAAACTGTAGGAATTATATCCCAATAAAATGGCTGTTCTCGTGGAGGCCACTTCCAATTAAGGAGCTCCAAGAATGTTGCTACTATAATGTCGGACACGAAATATTACAGCACTTTGAATGTATTGTTAAAAGTTTTCGCTCATCAGCTTGTTTGACTAACATGTGGGCGAGTCAGCATTAGGATAATTTAAAAAACTTGTGAGCCTGCCCTATATTTTTAAAGAAAAGGAAATATTGCATGGCCGCGATATAAGCAGGTACGTTAAGGCAGGTTACTTATGATCTCCACTCAAGCTGCCGCAACCACCCACGCCCGACGATGAAGGCAACTCATTCAAGCGAGTTTCATTTTAGAGTTTTTCGTTGTGTGATGAGTCCGCAGAGAAAACAGCTCTCTAAACCTAGGCATGCAACCACATCCTTGCTCGTTCTGGCGCTCACTTTACTATTTTATCGGGTACAGCCTATCCGTTCCTTAACATTCCCTCTCTCTGTCTTCAATCGCTATCTTCCTTCTATCAACTCCCACTTTCATACATTCACTCAGTCTCCATTCGCTCACTTCCCTTCGTTTCTATCATACGTACCTGCTTACATCCCCTCTTCACACACCCTCTCTCAATCGCCACTCGCTCACAGACCCTCCATCTTTCCTCACTCGGTCACCTACTCTCTTAAAACCACCACTCTAGCCCTTCAATTCCCTCTCTATCCCATATCCCCAGTTCATCCCCACACTCAAACCCATGCATGCGCCCGGGCGCGTGCTCGAGCATCAGTTTGGTGCGCCCACGCGCTGGTCAAATAACCATACTTTTTGCCACTTTTCACGTCTTTCCACTTGATATCTCGTCGACAATCAACTGGTCTTTTGAACAACGCTACGGGAAGGTTCCATAAAATTACGTTGTACAAACACCGGTGCTCAGCTTAATGACAAATAAATATACAAACGGTACCGTTGAAACTCCTGCCTATACTGGCAGAGAATAGCTGTTTGAACAGAAAGTCGCCTACTTATATTTGTAACTGTTTATTGAACTATTTTCGTTGTGGAAGAACAATTGAAACATACCACTAAGTCATGTATTAAAATTTCATGGATTCTGTCACATTTTACATGATTTATTAGGGAACAAAAATATTAAAAGAGGCAATATTTTCTCATTACCACAGACCCCTTAAATTGGCGCTTCGATCATAAATTTTTCAATACCCGCGGAAAGAAGAATAATTAGCGGTGTTGATTGGGATTTATATCGATGATAGGATGATTTACAGGGCTTAACGAATCGTCAATTAAATTCAGCGGGAGAGGGATAATAGGCCTTATCTTGATGCAACTTTGAATCATTAAAATTCAGAATTTGAAAGTTTGAATTTCCTTATCTTGGTGTGACTCATTCGATCAAGCAATGAGATGATCACTAAGAGTTATATCGATGCGACTCTATTGATGCTATCAAGAAAATTATTAAAGCTTATGAAGAGCTAAGCCATGACCATCACGACGCTGCTCCTGTCTCTTCTAGAACCCGAAGTTGTGCGTTCATGAGCCTTAAGAAGACATTTGTGCTCAATAGGTCCCTTTATGTCAGGAATTAAAACGTAAACATCCAAGCGTTATAACGGCCGTTCTCGATGTAAGAACGTCATTCTCTCATGTTAGTACAAGCAGTGGTCACTATGTTACTACAATACCACTCATGTCACTACAATACCAGTGGTCAAGTTTCATGCTACAATACGTTTCGTCTTCGTAGATATATGCTATGAAAAAGCAGAAATATTTGTTAAGTCTTTTTCAAACCAATCACGGTACGTAAGAAATTGAATTTCTTTTATTCCGATTCTCATACGAACTCAAGTAGTTACCCAATATTTTGAAATTGATGTTGCTATTTATGATTTCAATCAATGAAAGCCAATGAAAACTGTAAAAAAATCCTAGTTTTAAAGCACTCTTATTTTATTCCTCAATGATCTGATACTTTTATGTCAATTGATTATGTTTAAGTGCAAAACTAGCATTCAGAATGATTAATTATTTTGTTTTGATCGACAAATTTTTTCTCATTAAATTATTCAAATTGCGGGAGAAAATCCTTTAAAACATCGCATATCAAAAAAATCGAAAATTTAAGAATCCTCAATAATAATTATGGATCCCCACGGGTCTTTCAATTATACTCCTTACTTTTCTTTGTATCTCATCCCTGTTAAATGGGAAGAGTAGAGGCATTGTCCAAGTAAACTTTTCGACACAATCCAACCGATCCTGCATGTGTAGTAAATGGAGACAGTCTCCTCAACATTTTTCTGATTAGCCAGCGGAGAAGCGAATGTTTTGAAAGTTATAAATAATCCAGGCTTGTTGACTTATGGAAATAGTTCAATAAGGCAGACGCTGGCCTGTCTCTTACTAAGAAAAGTTTTATATGAATGGCCCAGCCAATAATACGTATCAACTATATGGCTGATTCTGGACCTAGGCTCGGTCTCGAGGGCAACAGGTCGGACAGAGCTAGGAATCTTAAACCAACATGAAGGAGCTGATATAATAAGATATTAAATCTACGGTCCATTTGATTATGAGGAATGAATCATCAACGGGGGCGAACCATCACAGTGAAAGATGAGGTACACTGGTTTTTATCTCAATTAGGGATTTGCTTGCGTCTTATTTTCTTAAATATGGTGTTCAGTTCCCGAAAAAGCTTCAGGGCAACATTCTCCGTCGTTTCATCTCGTGATAATATGACGAATCATCATAATTGGTATCACAGATTGCGATAGAATTTTAGCGCTACTATTGTTTACCTACATAAAAGGGTCGAGTAGAGTAAACGCAAAAGAAAACAACTCTCTTCAGTCCATGTCACAGTATTTTATTACTGACTCTTCCACCTCCCCTCTGTAGGATCCAAGTAAACACACAAAGTGCCGCTTCGATCGTCGAGCGAAAGTTTGATCAGTTTGTCCGCTCACGTTTCGACTTTATGGATGTTCGCTATGATCTGGCAGCGACGAAGTGCTGCAATTCTGTCCATGTGAGCACAACGGCTTTGTGATTGTGCAAAGTGCGCGAGAATAAAGCACAATGAATTATTACTTCGCCCGCTTGATTGTTAAACGAGGTTCAGATTGCACTGCAGCGAAGTTCGAGGTGTTTCCTTCATCCTCGTGATAATGCAGAGGGCTTTACGCCGATGTTATTGCTTCGTATCAATGCAAATAACCAGCATTTGCAAATGAATTACAGGCTTGATCACGCACATGACTCTCAGCGGATCGAAATGTATGAAGGTAAGAGAGCTTATTTCTTCCATTTTTACTACGGTATGTTGATTAATATAAATTTAAACAATTAGGGGAATGACGGTTGATGCCTAAATAAAACCATTATTACTTTCTCTCTTGCGTAACAATTCAACATCTAACATTTAGAAAAAGCTCAAATTTTTAAACGCAAATGATAGACAACAGTTGATGGCACACGCATTCATGCTTTATTGCCATTGTAACGCACATCTAATTATCGGAAACTATTTCCGAATTTAGACATTCTTTATAAATTTTCAAATTTTGTGGCTTAAAGAATTTCAGCACTTATGGTTATAACTGTCAGCGACGTTTGTGATCAATAATCCTGCATTAGTCACCATGTCCAATCATGCTAAATTAACTCTTCCTGTTAATTGAAACAATGATTAATTGTAAGAATGAAGTAGGTAACATCTGTGTTCAGCTGACA